GCTCCAGGGACTGTCTGTATCAGCGTCAGGCTCCGGAGCCAGGCCCTTACGGCCTACGACTGCTCCAGGGACTGTCTGTATCAGCGTCAGGCTCCGGAGCCAGGCCCTTACGGCCTACGACTGCTCCGGGGACTGTCTGTATCAGCGTCAGGCTCCGGAGCCAGGCCCTTACGGCCTACGACTGCTCCAGGGACTGTCTGCCCCGACTTTCCCTCAAAAAAAAAGAAATCACTTTGCATAAAAAATTCATCTAGTAAGGAAATGAAAGGAACGCCGCTGCTTTCTAGCACATTCAGTTCTATTTCAGTGAGAATAAGTGCAGGTATAACACACGTCGACTTCACAGTTCAAACAAGCTGCCTGATGAAATGAAGCCACATAATCCGATGATGGCAATCAGAAGGAAATATTAACTGGACTGCGGTGTACAGGCCATAGCCCCGTTACTGAGAAATCCCCATGTGATATGAATCATATGTAATGAATTCCCCCTAAAAAGTGCTCCTTTGCATTTAAAGACTGAGGGTCAGGGAGCGAGTGGAGCTCTGCTCCTCCTAAGCGCCTTGGCGACTGTGAGGTCTCCCACAGACGCTGCCTGCGGCGCCCCCTAAACGGATCAGTAAATCAGCACATGGCAAAACAGGTGTCCTTCTCTGCAGCACCTGTCAGCCGCACGCTCGCCACGTTGGCCAATCGGGCAGCACTGCGCCTCCCCTCAGCCATACAAGGAGTTGTGCGCCAGAGCCTGAAGGTCAGTGGTCGTGACCCCACCCCACACTTGCTTCCTAACAGTGATATGTCAGCACTGCTGCAGCTGGCATATCTGACAGCTTGTGCGGCCATACAGTTCTACACTGCAATATTTAGGGTTACATCCAGCCTACTGCAAACATGCTGGTATTTCCTCTGCTTTTGTGTAGACTGCCGTACGGCTGCCCTTTTAGATCGAGAAATCAAACTTACAAAGCTCGGATTTCACATTTCCTAGCAGCACTGGCAGCTGTTTTCCTAAGGAATCAAACTGCAGTAGAGGAAAACGGCAAGCGTGACGAGCATGCCTGTCAAATGCTCCCACGATGTGATAAAAACCTGTTATTTTGATGTTATGGGGATAACTTTTTCGGCTCCCGCAAGGGGAAACTCAATTTTGTAAAAATCTGTGACTGCAATCAAAAAACTATAAATGCCAAAAGTCTTGTATTTTATTTGGTTACTTATGGTTAAGGTTAGAGCTAGGTAGGTGTTAAGGTCATCATGTTGGGATTAGAGAATCCCCCCGGGAAATAAATGGAGAGTCCCAAAAAAGATAGAATTACAAACCTGTATGTGTGTGTGCCTGTGTACTGTGTGCGTGTTTGTTTGTCAGGGGGAATGAAGAGGGTGGGGAGTGGACCTGTGGGAGGAGTAACAAGCATAATTCCATAATCTGTTAACAAGCTAACAAAGCCCAGGGAGGGTAGTGGGAGAGGAGGCATTCTCCGTTATCGCTCAGACTTACATAGCACTACTGATAGGATTTGGCTCCAACATGAAAAAGGCAGAGGATTAATCAATTTAATTAGGGACACTGTACTGTACTGTGTCTGTGTGTCCATCAGAGAGAAATGGTCACGTGACACAAACATTATTCCAGCACCTTGGCTCTAATGTACACCAGGAAGACTTGTCAAGAGTTCATCCTCCTGCTTCTACAAAAATGGCATCCTCAATCAGTCATTCTCTCCCTTACTACAGCATTGGCATCCTCAATCCATCATCCTTTCCCTTACTACAACAATAACATTCTCAGTCAATCATCTTCTCCATTACACCATCTATGACATTCACAATCAGTCATCATCTCCCTTAATACAATGACATGCTCAGTCATCCTCTCCTTTACTACAACAATGACATTATCAAGCAGTCATCCTCTCCTTTACTACAACAATGACATTATCAAGCAGTCATCCTCTCCTTTCCTACAATAACATGCTCCATCAGTCATCCTCTTCCTTACAACAACAACAACATTTTCAGTCATCCTCTCCATTACTACAATGCCATCCTTAATCAGTCATCCTCTCCGTTACTACAACAATAACATCCTGCCATCGTCTAGGGTATAAGTGTATCAACAGATATCCCCACTCAATCATCCTCTCCCTTACTACAACAATGACATCCTAACAATGACTAGTTATCCTCTTCTTACTACGGCAACATTTTAATCAGTCATCATCCCCCTTGCTACAACTGCCCCATTCATCATTTATCAACACAGGTGGGCTTCATAAGCTCCCTTTATTAACTACCCCTTATCTAAGTAGAAACACATTTTAATTGCAGAGGTTATATCATCCAAAGCATCCAAACCAGTTCTGTAGCCATTTATAAAGATCGTTATTTTACTGCACTAATTCAGATAAGTACTGGAACACCAGGACTGCTACACTCCTGTTAGCCTTTGGGTAACATCCATTCCTCAACTGCAAAACTGCTGCTTTGTGTATAACTCAGCTATGAATTCCATGAGCACAACACTGGAACAAAAAATATATACACTGAGTGACAAAAAAAAAATTTAAAAAAAAATCACCCAGAAGTAATGGTTTGATTTGGATGTAATTTAGTACACGTGCAGACCAGTGATGGGTATGTAAAAAAAATTTGATTTGCAAGGAGCTGGCACGTCTAGTCACCAGATACAGAGGATGCCTCATAGACACATTACACAGCATTATCAGCATTTGATGGACTTTGATATGGGTCACATAGTGGGTTTGTATGAGGTCGGGTGGTCATATCGAGCAATTGTTTGGCATGTGGGGCATGCAGATGTCAGTCGCCCGATTTTGGAACCAGTGGGCACATGAGGGCACATACACAC